GTGGTGGTTCGAAACTGGTTCGTGAAGAAAAATGAATTTGAACTACAAAAGGTTAGTACTCAAACTCCTTGAGTTTTATCACTTATGAACATGCTAGTTAATTTACTATAACTGATGTACTTAGAGTGCCTAAGATCCAAATTGCTTCTTATGGTGTTAATATAACACATGCGGAAGCAATTTGGATCTTAGGCACTTTTAGAACATCAATCATATTAAATAACTAGCATGTTCATAAGTATTAAAACTTAATGAGTTTGAATGCTAACCTTTTGTAGTTCAAATTCCTTTTTCTTCCCGAACCGGTTTCGAACCATCAGTAGTGTCTTCTCCACTATCCTCCGGCCTTAAAACGGGATTGTGGAATCCAGTGAGTGACTAAATTTGGGAAAGATTTTGTATATATGAAGAGAGTGTTTGTGAGAGGTTTTCTCAAGGTTTTTCCACAGAAGACCTTTTATGTACCATGATCACCCTATTTATAGAGTCGTGTTTGCATGTTCATGCAAATTTGAGATCACCCAATTTTGACACCTCAAAATTTCACTAACATTGATTTTTACATTGATGAAGTCAACATTTTGACTTTCTTTATTTTAATTCAACAATTAATTTGAATAGTTAATTTCAAATTAAAATAATATTAAATGATTAATTAAACTATTTAATTAATATTTAATATTAACTCAAAAGCCAATCCCAATCAGGCACATATTTGATTAAAATATTTAAAAATTATTTAAATATCTCAAATTCTCTCTTTTTGTTTAATTCGTAAATAAAACAAAAATGCGGTTAAATATATCGTATATATGTAGCGCATATTCCCTAATTTGAATTTGAACTCACTCGTCACACTGTTCTATTGTTTAGTCCGATATGAGCTAGCAGAGAGACCTAATGGACCTATAGATCATGGGCTCCAACGATCCAAGATTAACCGATTAAACTCATTAACCTTGTTAATCAACAACACTCATTAACTACTAGGACACTCCACTATAGCCTAGTAGTTGCACTCCCCTCACTATAGATATATTTCTGTCCATTTGATATAACCATGATTAGTAAGTCGATCCTTCACAGGTTGTTCGTAGTTAAAGCTGGGTCAATTAGCCGTTTTACCCCTGAAGTTGCTTCTTGTTCCTCATATCCCACTGATCCTCTTATGAACAATTGGTTTGTGGTCCAACCAGTAAACCGAATCCCTCTCACGCCAATGAGTGGGTGGGACCCCTTATTCAAGACCTAGAGTCAGTACTTACGGGAACTACCTCTCTATCCCTAAAAGCGGGTAGGAGCAAATTCCATCTTGCACCCCACATCCCCAGCTATTCACCCAGTCTTACCCCTGAAATGGGAGCCCTATTTAGTCGGCAAACTTGAGCCACTCTCACCCATGCAAATCTAAGGATAATTCCAAATAAACAGGAGTTCATGGTTAGCTCAGGATTAAGATCGAGTTACGTAGGTCATCGAATGAAAAGAAAATCAGTCTCAACAGTAAACGACATTATAAAGTGAGTGGTTTTCTTCATGGTTCGAGCTTATGTAATACTCATTGCATAGGACGCCCCCACTCACATGTCTCCACATGTACAATTTAGTGATCACATTGTTTATATCATATACAAAAGTGGGCCGCATCCATAGTGTCCCTAGAATAAGGTACTCAGCCTTATCCTTATACTATAGATCATTTTGACTATATACTTGAACTTGATCCACTCTTATGTCTCTACATATAGTTTAAGTAATCATACTATAGCCAGAGTGTTCTTAGTTTATTGGATTTAGATTAATGATCGTAAAGTTCACTCTATTCAATAACAATTTTTACTAAATAAACAACCATAATAACTTTATTGAAAATAGAATATATTTTTGTTTACAAATAATGAGTTTTAGGACATAAAACCCAACAGCTTCTGCATGTGTTATAACAACACCATCAATGGTGACTTATTTAGATGATGTGTGCCCTTACGTAGCGTTTCCACACAATTAGTGTATAAAAAAGTACTGATTTTTCCTCAATTAGATCCTATTTCATATAAAATAGGGTTATGATTGGATTCGAGAGGAAAATAGGGAAAATAGAAGTTGAACGGGATAAAACGGGCTTACACACACTTCCACGCGCCGGAACAAGCTCACTCGCAGGTTCCACGCGCGAGTGACACGCGCACACGTTTTTCTGCAGCCGCGGGTCGTCGATCCAGTTCGGGTGCAGTGGTTCAGGTGGACCGCGGGTCGCCGCAGTTCATTTCGTCGCACGGGTACTAGGTCAGCTGAGGAACATAGTTCGGGTTGCCTGGCCGCGGACGCGTGTCGCTGGAAGGTTGGAGCCGCGTCTCTCCAGGTGGCGTTCGACGCGTGTCCAGTGGTTATTGGTGCACGCGAACTTCTTGCCGATTGACACGTGGCGCGCCATCGCCTTCTCTCTCCTCCTAGCAGAAAAACAAGGTTTCCGATTAGTTTTCCAACATTCTTCTCATTTTTCTATCTCTCGATTCTTAATCCAAACCGTAATGACTTCTTCAACAAAGTTTTAGATCATACTATAACCTATGTGCCAATATTTTTTCTTGATTTTTACTTAATCATATGATGAGTTATGAGCGTCGGAAAGAGGTCCGATAACATTCTTACCGTTCTTGGAAAGATTCTCATATCTCAACAAAGTTTTTTTTTTTTTTTTTTTTTTTATGGCCAAAAATTCTTAGCATTTAATTTTCAACTCAAATCTAATTAATGGTAACGAAATTAATATCAAGAGAAAAATTTTAAATATGATATTGACCTATTACGGATGAGAAAATCTTATCATTCTGTGCTGGAATTACTGATACAAGTTAAGTAATCTGAGAAGGAGAAAAGTCTTGAGAGGTTAGTGGAGTGATGGAATCAGTTATTTTTTATTAATTAATTTGTTTTATTTATTTATTTTACTTTTTATTTAACAGTGTTACATCTAATCACATGTTTATTTTGATATTAGTAAATATGGTTAATTTTAAAAGTATTTTTTGGTTCATACAAGAAATGTTTATTTTAAAGAAAATTACCTACAAACACATTTGAAAAAAACACTTAAAAGCAATTTATATGTAATGAAATATACACCAAAAACTCTATTGCCTATTCATGAATCTGGTCTATGCTTAATTCATAGTTTTCGTCACCGACAAATATCTCAATCGCTAGGAATAAGCATTTCATTCCTACGATGAAATCAACTTTAAGTTTGTTTATAATTATACTCTATGTATTATAAAACATGTTGTGTTCATTGATATAGTCATTACAAGTCCTTCCTTTATGAGTTGTGTAATTACAGCTACGTTAAAATTGTGTTTTACCTATGTAATTACATCTTACACTTGCTAAGTCTCTCTTGAACTAATGAGAGAGTATGACCCCATTGTTTAAGTTCTGAAATCATCCTTGACAAAACTACTCATATATTTACCATACATGGGAATGAGTGAATTTCATGTTATAAAATTAACTTCACGGTTCTCTATTTGGTCAAGTCCCCAAATCGATAGACATATTGAATGAGTTGGAAAAGTCATTTTTACCCATGCAAATAAAAAACAAGCTTGACAAGCAAAAATTTATAGCTCCCTCAAGATTAAGATCAAGATCGAGTTTCATATTATCTCGTGAAATATTAATATTCTAATTTATAAAGATAGATTAAAAGTGATGGTTTAATCATATATCCAATTCATCAAATAAATATCCTCTCACGCGTCTCTACATGAGCCATTTGAATCAAATCAGCGTCTCTACATGAGCCATTTGAATCAAATCATTTATAACAATAACAAAATGCTTCATATTAATAGTGCATCCGAACAAAGCAACTAGTTTTGTTCATATACTTATAGATCATTTACATTATTACTTGAACATGATTTTTTTCATACGTCAATTACATACTCTTCAAGATTACACTAATAACTTTTAAAAAAAAATTATATATATAATTGATAATATTAAATGGTAACTAAAATAAAATAATTGATTATAAACCTTAGGGAATATATCCCTAACATCCTTTTTAAATATACTCAGTAAGTCCCTTCAACTACCTTTTTAAATATAACCCTTTAAAGCTCATCATGTTTCTATCTCTTTGGAGCACAATCATCATCTAATGTCTATTGGACTCTGTTTCAATGTTTTTTTTTATTATTATTATTAAAAATAAGCTACTAAACCCATAATTTTTGGAGATCTACACTTTTATATACTACTCATCTCAAGTACTACTCGAGATCTCAAATTCTTTTATCTAATAATATAGACCGTTGTCTAGATTAGTTCACAAATAGGAGTTAGTTAGTGATCTCTTAATCATCTGGATCTAATAATATAGACAGTTGTCCTTATCTAGATTAGTTCACAAATAGGAGTTAGTTAGTGATCTCTTAATCATCTGGGTACCCAGTATCATAAACATAATACCATACACACTATCATATGGGGAAGATAATGAATCAACATAAATCATCCATCCATGCTTTCACTAAGGTATATCAATCACTATTTGTCTACGGTAATCGTTCCTATTCCATACTTTTCTTACCCTTCCAATGAAGCTTAGTTACGGTTTTTAAATTGTCACTTATTGCTCAATTTATATCTTAAGATGCTTCAATACATTCAACTTGATTATATATCAATCATGTATGAAACATAAATTCATGAACAATTCATAATCTTGCATTCGCAATAAGCAAAGCTTAATTGAATTAAACCAAAGTGGCTATTTGTATGGTTTCACGGTTTTACAAGCCTCATCATATTAAAAGTGCAAGAACAAAGTTGTAGATGTGGTTCCAATAAATGGAAGGGAAGAAGGGTTATAGAAAAGTTTTGCCCCCTCTTTAATGAACAAAAGCCCTGGAGGAGTTGTTGCCCTTTTTCTGGTTTTCCCCGCTCCTGGTCAACCTTGGTGAAGATAAGATGAATTGGCGAAGAAAAAAGCAAAATTAGAAAGACGAGGAGGGTTTTATTATAATATAGCGCACTGGATATTACAAGTCCGGAGAAACACAAAGATTAGATATTGATGTTATTGAAAGGAAACTAGAGAGACAGACAGAGACAGACGCAGAAACAGAGGATGAGATCAGTCGCTGTCGCTGTCGCTGCTGCTGCTGTGGCCGCCCTCGTGGTGCTCGCCCTTCTTCTTCTTCTCCTTCTTCTTCTTCTTCTCACCCTTCTCATCGTGGTGATCCCCATGGATCTTGTCCTTGATCTTCTCCATCAGGCCTTCCTTGTGCCCTTCCCCATGGTGCTCTGACTTCTCGCCGTGCTTCTTCTCGTGCTCGTGCTTGTCCTTCTCGTGGTGCTCGCCCTTGTGCTCCCCCTTGTGGTCTCCTCCGATGTGGAGCTTCTCGCCTATTTTCTCCATGATCCCTGCCATGATGCTCTGATTTCTTTCTTTGCTAGATCTAAGCTGCTGGGCTTTCAGAATGGGAAGGAGGGTCCTTATTTATAGATCCCCAAGGATAATCCCTTGGACCACAAAATAATATTATTAACGAATAAATTCACTTATCCAATATCCTTGATCGCTTTAATAATTGCGATTCTTTTTCTTATATGTTTACGCGCCAATACCGCGTCTGCCGCTACTCAGACACCATACCTTTCAACACTTTTTTTTTCTTTTTCTTTTAATAATTATTTCATTTTAGGAGACTTTCTAATTTAACTATTTCTTCTTTTCTTTTTAATATCATTCAGAAATAAGGAAAGTTTCATGATTTTTTGGCCACTCATACCTTGCCGCGTGGACATGATTCGTTTGCCGACGTTTTCGGAAGGTGGAAGGGCCCATAATTATTTATTGTTTTTTTTTTTCTAATTGGCCGACATTAAAAAATGGTCGGTGAAGAAATGCCACGCGTCAAGATCTAAGCATTCACGTGCAGTGTTCTTTCTTTATTTCTGTCTTCTAGCTCAAACCTGCCACTTGGATTCCTGACTTTTCTTTAACTACTTTCTCAACCAACTTCTAAATATAAATATCATTTTAGATTTCATTTTTTTTTTATTTTAAAAATTATCAATAAATTTGTAGACCTGTAATTTTATGTCATTGTTCACAGTTGATTTTGGTTAAATCAACCAAAATCTCTAAAACCTAATTCTCCTCGTTCTTTCTTTTTAATTAACCTCGTTTATTGGTCGTTACATACAACAACTTCGTTCATTTAAAGTTCTATTGTGCCACAACTTGATCGTCATGTTGTATGAGAAGTGTCAATGGTTGTAGCATCAGAAATGCCCCTCCGTTGGCCATTGAATCATAACAACACCTCATTGACGCCTTGTCGTCCGTCAAGTCTCAATAACGCCATTAGTCGTGCTGTGGTAGCAACCTTATCGTCACGTTTCACTATTTCAACACATGTTTTGCAGAACTGGGCTTTTTTGGGCCCAAAAACGATTTCCAAGTTCAAATAAATAAATGTTAAGCCCAAAATCGAAGAACCAAACCCATACAAAAATCAAACCAAGCGCCTCTAAAGCTTATTGCAGGTTGGTTTTATTTTTATTCATAAAATTTGATTAGTTTGGCTCGTTCTCGTTTGGGCCTAAAATGGTTGAAACCCAACTGACTATCACCTTTTAACGTATTTAACTTTTAATTCTATTCAACCATTTTTAAATTTAAAAAACTTAACAAAAACGAAATTGAAAGTTTAGAGTTTAATAATTTAATAATTTAAATTTAGAAACCAAATACATAAGAATTTAAATAATTAAATTTGTTAATAATTATTTTCTAAATAATCTGTTTAAAGGGGGATTATTAAAAAAAATGTGATTGTAAAGTAATTGCTACCCAATCACTTTAGATTTATTTAAAATGAAAAAAAAAAAAAAAGTATTTCATATTAAGACTTTCAAAATTCACTAACGGATATTCAACCCTTGTGTTTCTAGTGTGCTTGTCATCTTCAAATGAATGGCCTATCACAATCCAATTTGGGAGACTTTGAATTTCAAATTGTGACTAAAAGAAAAGACGAAAGCAACTAAAAGTAGGAATTAAGTTGAAAGTAAAAGTATAAAAATGGGAATTAAAAACATACTACATTGTTGTCAAAACAAAATACAAAATAGAAACCATGCAAAATAGGTGTTTTTCAAGTTCTTACAAACAGGGAATGAGAGTGAGATACAGATGAATATAAATGAAAACCCACAAAAGTACAAACTAACTTACGTCTCCAATTGACACTTCTTTGTGGCCACGTAGCTCTCAAATACTCTCCTACCTCGACTCATACCTGAAAAAAAAAAAAAAAAAAAGAGTATAAAAATAGGTAACCTATTTGTAGGCTTTGATCACATCCATCCAATTCCTAGTAGATTTCCAATGACTTTCCTCTAGACTCTAGAAAGTTCAAGCCATTTCCTACAATTATCTTAGTTTTTATGTAGGTCTTGAAGTTCCAAATGGTTCATCATGAGTCATCTACTTGTATATTCCATAGTCCCCTTTCAAGATTGATTTACTGCATCGCGGTGTCAGCCTCAACCCGTCCCTCTACTCAATACAGGCACTCTCCTTGACAACTATCTATGTAGTCTCTAGTTTCTCTTTAGGACAAGTTTAGCGAGATCGTGATGTCAATCTTGTCCTGATCCTACACTCATTAGTAACTCAAGTGGCCTGAGAGTTCCGATAAGCTTCCTTAATCATACTTAGATGTCGTGGAGGTTGATCAAGTCCTTTGGGGTGTCTAGGCAGTTTAGTCTATATCTCATGTTTTTCAAAACGCTCGGAGTTAGCCCTTTGGGCTAAACCAATCCTTGGGTACACTCATGTCTAAAACTCTAATCATCACTCACGATTCTAGGGTGCCAGGTGACACAATCGCACTTTCGAAGACAGCGGACTAGCGATTGTGCGGCACTCACTTTCCAGCGACAAGTGAGCTTAAGCCAATTTGTTCTTGCGTCGCCTACGGCCAAGCGACGTACGATCGAGCCTCTAGTCTCGGTTTTAAAAGAAGGGTTTAGAAAACGAGGAGAGAGAGAGATTTTAGAAAGAGAGATTTTGGAAAGAGACGTTATATAAGCAAGCAAGAGAAAGATAACAACGGCTTAACATATATAACCTTGGGTAGGGAGAAGTTGACAACTAGTCATATCCCCCTATAGTACATTCTGAGCCATTTTAAGTCTGGCAGGCCTAGACATGATATTTTTGAGGCGTCATACGCCTTAGAATTACAAAAGGAAAAACACTAAAATAAAAGACATGACAAGGGTTTGGCTTGTCATGGGCATGCGGCCATGGGCAACATGCCCTGGACGAGCATGACCGTGACATCCTCCCCCACCTAATTGGTTGACGACCCCGTCAACCGACTACGTTCAAACCTTGCGATGTGGGTGGCGGCGGAGTTCAGATCTTCGGCGCGTTCCCAGCTGGTTTTCTCTATAGGGAGATTCTTTCATTTGACAAGGAATTCACGAATCGTCCGTACAGGTCTTCCTATCTTCCTAACCCTGTCAGCTAGGATCTCTTCTACTTCTTTTGTTTCTTTTTGCTTCAAATCGATGCTCGGTCTTGTGGTTGCATTTCGTTGGTCGTCGTCTGGATCAGAGTGATAGGGCTTCAAGTTGCTTACATGAATGACTGGGTGGATTTTCATCCATGCGGGTAGTGCAACTCGGTAGGAGGTAGCTCCGATCTTTTTAAGGACTTCAACCGGGCCTTCATATTTACGAACTAGTCTCTGGTTCTTTCGACTGCGAAATTTGATCTGTTCTGGTCTCAACTTGATAAGAACTTGATCTTCTACTCGGAATTGAAGGGGGCGACGCTTCTTGTCCGCCCATTTCTTCATATGCTTGGAAGCCTTTTCTAAATATGCCCGGGCTATATCTGTCGTCTGCTTCCATTCTCTTGTAAAGTTGTGAGCTTGAGGGTTTTTCCCTGCATAAGGATGATCGATAATATGGGGTAAGGCCGGTTGTCGTCCACTTACAATTTCGAAGGGACTCTTCCCTGTAGACGAGCTTGTTTGACAATTGAAGCAAAATTAGGCGATATCTAACAGTTGTATCCAGTTCTTCTGGCGAGCGTCGACGAAGTGACGTAAGTATTCTTCGAGCAAGCAATTGAACCATTCTGTCTGTCCATCGGTTTAAGGGTGATAACTCGAGGAGATGTTTAAGGTTGTTCCCAAGAAAGCGAATAACTCAGTCTAGAATGTCCCAATGAATCTGCCATCCCTATCACTGATGATGCTTGACGGAATGCCCCATAGCTTTACAACGTGTTTGAAAAACAGTTGGACTGTGAGTTCTGCCGAGCATAATTTGGGAGTGGGGATGAATGTCGCATATTTTGAGAACCGGTCTACAATAACCAAGATGGCGTCATATTCCCCAACTTTTGGGAGGTGTGTTATGAAGTCCAGAGATACACTTTCCCAGGGTCTTGTTGGCACAGGTAGAGGTTCCAAGAGTCCAGAAACCTTGGCTTTCTCGACTTTGTCCTGTTGACAGATGAGGCACGTCTTGGTGTATTGCATGATGTCGTCTCGCATGTTTGGCCAGAAGTACCCCTTCTTTATTAGGGCGTATGTTCTTTGCCACCCAGGGTGTCCGGCCCATAAGGTATCATGACATTCCTGAATTAGCTTCTTCCTCAGTTCCCCCGTTCTTGGGACATACAATCTGTTTCCTTTGGTCATCAGGAAGTCCCCCTCAACCCAAAACTGTCGTGTTTTTCCAACTTTAGCTAGTTCGACTACAGCTTTGGCCGATGGGTCTTTGTGTAAATGTTCCTTGATGATGTCGCGCATCGATCCATCGATCTTACTTGAATGAATATGGGCTAACATGCACAGGGCCGCATGTTCGCCCTTCCGACTCAGCGCGTCGGCTGCTTAATTACTCTTCCCTGCTTTGTGTTCGAACTTGAAGTCGAATTCGGCCAACGACTCCTGCCACCGGGCTTGTTTTGCTATTAATTTTGGTTGATCAAAGAAGTGGCAAGTGGCGCTGTTATCCGTCTTCACTACGAGCTGTGATCCCAAGAGATACTGTCTCCAAACTCGAAGGCAGTGGACTACAGCCAGCATTTCTTTCTCGGAGACAGTGTATCTTCGTTCGGCATTGTTGAGCTTTTGACTTTCGTAAGCAATGGGGTGGCCTTCTTGAATAAGGACCCCACCTAGAGCAAAGTCGGAAGCATCGGTTTCTATTTCAAATGGCTTTGTGACATCTACCAACCCGAGGACAGGACCCCTCATCATGGTTGTTTTCAGATTTTCAAAGGCCATTTAACAATCATTCGACCACGACCAAGGGTGGTCTTTCTTCAACAGCTCTGTCAATGGGGCGGCTCGTCGTGAAAACCCTTCGACGAACCGCCTATAGTAGTTGGCTAATCCTAAGAAGGACCGCAACTCAGATACGGAAGT